ACTTTAAAAAAATCCAAAAAGCCATAGAAGAAAGATGGGAGAATCTTAAAGAAAGTCCTAAAAAAATGATTAATAGTATACTAGACAAGCCAAGAAAATCCATTATTATGGATCGTTTGATTGTCGAATCAGAGAGCAATAACACAACAAAAATCATCACGGACGAAACAGAAATTAAGACAATTGTACGAAAACACTTTTAAAACTGGACAAGGAAGAGGAACACCAATGAAACAATGATGAAAGAATGGGAGAAATGGTATAAACCAATACCAATAATTGACTCTAATAACTATAAAAATTTGCTAACAGAAGTAAGTATAGACGAATTGGAAGAAACAATTCGGCTCTTACCTAACAAAAAAGTGGCCGGACAATTAGGTCTACAATATAAATGGTTTAAACATCTCCCTAACGAGGGCATAGAAGCATTAAGAGACATCATTAACATGGCTCTCGATTTAAATGACATTCCAGAAGAATGGAAACGGGGGTATATATATCCAATTCCAAAAATGGTCGATTGGGGAAACAATTTAAATATAACAAGACCAATAACCTTATTAGAAGCAGGAAGAAAAATATTCACGAAAATTTTAAATAATAGGCTAGCAGATATCTTCAGTAACAATAAAATTTTATCAGGACACAATTACGCAGGTTTACCAGGTGACGATACACAGAATCCAATTCACATTATAAACAATATTATGGAAGACGCAAGGGTCAAAAATAAAGAATTGTGGTTAATGTTCCAAGACATGAGCAAAGCATTTGATTCGGTTAATACCGATTGCTTATTAAAAGCTTTACGAAGAATTAAACTGCCGGAAGGATTTATTAACATAATAGAGAAATTGTTACATAACAGAGAAAATATCGTATTAACTACTTATGGAAATACAGAGGCGTACAAGGTAGAAGATGGCATCGATCAGGGAGATATAATTTCACCAATCTTATGGAGGATTTTCTATGACCCACTAATACACAGAATTGCAGAATCAGGTCTAGGATATATAATGAAAGAAAAATAGATCGATGACCTAAGATATGGAACGACTAAATCAATGCAAATGAAGGTAACAGTGGCAGCATACGTAGACGACACAAATTGGTTTGCACCCTCACGAGAAAAAATGGAAAAAATACTTCAAAT